GGAATAACCTCGTTCCCAAGCACTACAACTTACCTATATTATCTTCTACTAACCCATTAATGCGTTAACTGATAAGGAAGAAGTCCATTGTTTGATCCTTGATGTCCACACACTTTGGTTTTAAGCAGCAAGTGGGTTTGGTCAGTGTGCTGCCTGCAAATGAAGAGCACCATTTTTTGATCCTAAGTGACCTCCCACACTTGTTTTAAGGAGCAAGTGTGCTTGGTTAATGTGCTGCCTGCTAAGCAATAGGTCCATTGTTTGATACTCAATGACCTCCCACACTTGTTTTAAGGAGCAATTGTGGCTTGGTTGGTTAGTGTGCTGCCTGCTAAGCAAGAGGTCCATTGTTTGATCCTAAGTGACCTCCCACACTTGTTTCAAGGAGCAATTGTGGCATGGTTGGTTAATGTGCTGCCTGCTAAGCAAGGTCTTACAGGTCCTCAGTGATCTCACAAACTCGTTTCACCACTTGCATTATTCACCAGGTGATAGGATTCGATAGCGTTGATGATGAGAGTAAAGGAGAGAGTCATCTGTTCAGTCAGAACAGCCCACTACCAGCCAACTGGACATCAGAGGACAACCCTCCCTACTCTTACTACCTGTACTACATGTATTCCAATATGGTCTGCTTGAATCATCTTAGACGGTAAGACATCACAATAAGCAATATAATATAATAATATAAGCAATATAATACGGTACTGACTCCCAGCACACGGTATGTGATGCTGTAACATTGAATTGGCTTGAATGAACATGGCGCTACTGTGGTAAAGTTAAAATCTCTTYGTACTTAATGTAATAGTATCGTTTTTTCATCCAACATGTAGAGAGCRAGGTTTCAATACCTTCAAGCTTCGTCCACACTGTGGTGAGGCTGGCCCCGCCCATCATTTAGTGACAGCCTTCATGTTGAGTGAGAACATTTCCCATGGCCTACTGTTAAGAAAGGTATTGAGTGCGCACATTTTCTTTCATAACTAACATAGTCATCTAGTAGTTATCTAATGRTCAGGGGAGGGGGTCAATTTGAGGGGTCGTYGCAGGAACCTAAATGTAAAAGAGTGTAAATTTGGCAAAAGATCCCCAAGCATCCTAACCAAGTTAATAGATCTTGATTTGGATTCAAAAGAATTTTGGAACCTCCGCCTGTTCGGTCCCCTTTCCCTTTGCCTTTTTTTATAGAGATCCCACGGGTACAAATATATGGAAACCCTAGGTTAATATGTGCTTCCCTGCTAGCAGAGCTATTTTCCTTTTGTTTGCGCATGCGTGGCGTAACTTAGCAACGCTGTCATGATTTTGACAGCCGCCACGGTGTGTTACATTTGCTCATGCGCACTACATGTAATCGGTTAAAACCGGTTTTGTTCGTGGACGGCGGTGTATCAAAGGAAACGCTCTACATCGGCAGTCTCCTTCCTCCCCGCCTGAAAGAAGGGAGAGAAAAGAGAAGACTCTGCTAGCAGGGAAAATATGTGCATACTTTTTCCTACATATTTTTTCATACTTTTACTTTTTGTCAGGTTCCTGCTCTCCAGTACTTGTACTATCTAGCACAGATCGGAATCGCCATGTCACCGCTCAGCAACAACTCGCTGTTTCTCAACTACCAGCGCAACCCGTTACCAGAATTCCTCTCAAGAGGGTTGTTAATCTCCCTCTCTACTGACGATCCCCTCATGTTTCATTTCACCAAGGTATAGTAACAATTAATACGCACTAGGGGGTCATTTGAGTATTTTTATGACGCCATGTCTCTGTTAATGGCAAGCATGTGTGGCATGGTGATGAATGCACGCATCTCACCAGCCCAGGGGCTGAAGCGAAGGTTCATAGATTTCCTCCCTCCTCAAAAATCAAAACTTCTAGATTCCAATCTTGGATAAAAGAAGAGCCTCTCTGAGGGAACACTGCTGGACCCCTCTTTATGTTGTTGTATGAGCATGTTGCACAGCGAATATACGGCCTAGATGTGCGCACTGTTCTTAAACATTGTCTTAAATGTTATTGTTCAAACAGGAACCACTGATGGAGGAATACAGTATTGCAGCTCAAGTCTGGAAATTAAGCCAGTGTGACATGGCGGAACTGGCGCGTAACAGTGTACTGATGAGTGGCTTCGAAGACGAGGTAGGAGTCTAGAATATTACACAGAACGCGAGCATGTTTTCTACTTTTGTACTACGCTATTATGGCTACGGTCATGCTTCTCCAAACACTTTTCGGGTGTTCTGCAAATTCCTGCGTGCTTCATCACTTCACAGTATTTAGGAGAAGCGAAATTTCTATTTCTTCACGAGTGCACCTTAGCAAGTAAACAGCATTCTATTTKAGTTGTCGTTGCAAAGTAGGGCATCTAAGTTATACAAAGATGGCGAAGAAGCTGGAGACAGTTCTTTGTACCAGGCTACGCTCTTGATGTACTGGATGTCGTTCACGTCCTTTAGGGAGGGGGATGGGTGACGTAATTGCGCATGCGTACCTTCTATCTTCAACACGTTCTCGTGTGTTTTCAGATTAGTCATCACTCAATAAAATATTCTTATTCTCATTTCTTATATTTTACCCAGGTGAAGCATCAGTGGATTGAAAACGCGACTGGGGGGAATGATATCACAAARACTAATGTACCTAACATCAGGGTGGCGTTCCGGCAGGAAACTCTTACTGAAGAACTGAAGACAATTTGCGAAGGAGCACGCGATTAGAGCCATGTTCCGCAGGAAAATACTCCAGGGCGTGCGCCACGCAAGACAAATGGCCAACGTAAAAATGTGATTAGAATTACGTGAGTAAGACAAACAAATAAGAAAATGATGAATTTACGAAATAAATAAAAAAGAGAACAAGATTTAGTAATAGATAACGTAGTCAGCTTAGCAATCCAAGCCGAGTAAAGGAAAGAATCCCTCTGTTATCGCTAAACATCGTAACCCAATAGGGAAACGCACGGTACCTCGACTCTCAAATGGTTTCCCGCTTACCCAATCGCAGTTAAAAACTAGGAAACCATTTAAGTGTCACGCTACCTCAATTTGTTTTCGAAATCTTCATCTTACGAGTAATATCATTTTGCTTTCTTAATATTTCAAACTTCACTTATAAAATTAAAAATATTACTTTTCATCGTCCCTTCAAGGGATTTAAAATTTTTAAATTTTAAATGAAAATCTGAATATTCCTAAACATTTCAAGTTTCAATTATAACAATTTTCAATATACAAATACATTTATTCAAATTCTATTTTAATRCCTTCTAACAATATAACATAAAATTAACCATCTATTATTGGTCATTATGCTATTGGATCTTGATTGGTTTCATAACTATTAATCTGGTCACTTGCAAGCCAGCATCTTGCAAAATACCTGGCAATATAAAGTCATGTAGATCCACAGTTTATTTGACAGTCTTTAAAATTTTAATACCGTGTTAGTCGAAGCCTGGAAGCTTTTTTCTTGTAGTATTTAATGCAGGAAAAAAACAAATGTGGTTAAAGCTGCTGTTGGATATCAAGCTCACACTTTTTTGAGGCGCCGTTGCGCACAGTGATTTCTCATTCAACTTGTCTCGCGAAAAAAATTGTACCTTAGTAAGAGGTTTTATGGGTGTGCAAATAGGATTGTCCGACTTTTTGTTGCAGGAGTAGAACTACCTTGTACTCTCTGCACCCACCTGTAGCAATTTTCTGATAGACAAGTTGCAAAGGAATCCGGTGCGCAACATAGTCTTGAAGCAACCTGAAATTTTTATCGTTTAACACGCTATTTAGTTTGTAAATAATTTCTAAACATTATTCGGGTAACATGTCAATTTATTTCTAATGTTTTACATTAACTATTATACGTAAACCCAACGATAAATCTTGGTTGGTAAAAGAAAAATCTTACAAATTATTTTCCCATTTTCTTGTATCCATTCGTTTCTAAATGTTCAATAAATAAAATAAAACCAAAATCCTTGTTCTTCATTGTCTTTCTGTTACAATTCTGTAAAGAAGAAGATACCAATGGACACTTGTCAAAATTGTCTTGAATGCAAGGGTAACATGGAAATACAAAAGWAATACCAAATTCCATTGAAAGAAAGTCCGATTTTTTTAATTTTTTAAATTTTGTATTTTCATGTTGTCCTCGCATTCGAGCAAATTTTGAGAATGTCTAGCTTAAGGAGCGTTTTTTCAGATAAAGCTCCCTTTTTGAAGGTGGGATAGGGTGAGGTGTTTCAACCTCTTCTTCGGCCTTTGTCGACTGGCCAAAAGGTTTGTTGAATTTTAAAATTAGTTTGTCTAAAATGTAAATGGTGTATAAAAAAGACATTGTTATTGGGCTTCCTGTGTGAAAGATCCCAGAAGGCGTATCGAGTGCCGACGTAAACATGGAGGACCTTCCAGATGAGATTATTTCAAACATTCTTGAATATCTTGATCCTGYGACTAAACTAAGGACCGCCCTGGTGAACAGAAGATTCCTTGAAATAGCTACAGATCCGCTCCTTCACAGGTATTATGCATGTAAATGATAATTCCTTTAAAACTAACTAATGGTGCCATCTATTAACGTCAAATCCATTTAACTTTTGCGAAAATTTACTCTCTGTGCCTTAGACACACTAAATGTGGTGGCTAAATGTCCATATACAAGCGTCTATGTGTACATATACGAAAGTGTCTAATGGTATATGGTGTATATGTGTATATCGTAGGTGTCTGAGACACTGATGGCTATTGTCCATATCCAAGTGTCTATGCGTACATACACAAAGTGTCTATGTGTATATGTGTATATCATAGGTGCCTGAGGCATACTGATGACCAGTGTCCATATACAAGTGTCTATGTGTACATACACGCAAGTGTCTATGTGTATAAGGTGTATATGTGTATATCGTAGGTGTCTGAGGCATACTAATGGCTAGTGTCCATATACAAGTGTCTATGAGTACATGTACGAAATGTGTCTATGTGTATAAGTGTATATGTGTATATCGTAGGTGTCTGAGGCATACTGATGACCAGTGTCCATATACAAGTGTCTATGCTTACATATACACAAGTTGTCTATGTGATAGATACAAATATATAAATACAAATACATTGTATATATACAGATGTGCATAGAGATATTTGTGAATTGTCATAAAATGATATTGCAATTGATTTATGAGACAATTCTAACCTGTGTAAGTGCTAATTCACCCTTTTTACCATAGCRATGTAAAATATTTATTTTAAGGTAGAGAGAGTAACTTTCGCAATTTGAGTTCAATCAGTTTTCAAATTAGTGGTGATAACTAGTAGAGTACTAGCGTGGACTGCATCGGTGTTTCTGAATAAAAGAGTAGGAACTTGTAGATGAATTGGATCACGGTAAAAAGCTTTGTGAAACTGATGTTTCAGAGGTTAGTCCTTCGTCGGATGACAAAGCTTTTTACAGTGACTCAAGTTATCCACTAGTTCCTGCAGTTTTCAAATTGTTGTTATTTGAGCTACTATTTCTTTTATTTAAAGCTTATTTAGTATTTTKGGGCACTATTTGATTTAAGCCTTAATTTTTTTAGATTTTCTCCACATTTGATTGTGTTAAATACCCTAGGTAGTATAAAGATTAATTACTCTAAACTATAAATATGCTTTTTTTATTTGACAGATATTCAAAATTTAAAAGCTCCTACTATCTTCCAGAAAGATTCATTACTACATACATCAAGAAGTTTGGGGGCRGCTTCAAATATTTGAGTCTTCAGGACTGTTACTGGCTAAAACTAGCAGATATCTCTGTGATACAACATTCATGTTCTAATCTGACTAATCTGGACTTATTAGGCTGTGTTGAAATTCCTGTGAATATTGTTCTCATCTTATTTAAGCAGAATGTTCATCTTCGGCATTTTGGTTGGACAGTTAGTTTGGATTTGCTGTCAAAGTTGAAGAATGTCAACTCTCCTCAGGGTCAACATGCTATAGAACAAATCAATGGATTATCWGTTTTATTTCACAACTTAATCTCTTTAAAGGTTGGACTCCAGGTGTATTCGGCAACAGCTTATAGAGATGCATTTGAGCCYGAAGCTGCACTTTTCATGCATTTGATATCAAGGATTTTTTCACCTAAATTGCAAAAATTATCTGTTATTTGTCTTGAGAGAGGACAGCTTATGCTAGTGCCAAAGTTGTCTAGAGTCGTACTTAAGATAAGTGTTGAGCTTAAAGAAATTAATAAGACCTCAATTTCTTGTAATGTAGACATGAAAAATTTCTTTGCTAATACAAGAAATGAGCTTGAGATAGCGGCAATATCAAAACCTGATGGCATTATCAAAGGRTGGTTGAAATACGTGCTGGCACAAAAGGATTACACAATAAGAACATTAGTTGTTCCGGGTCCTCCATTTCTCAACTTCTGGATTCCACTGCTTGGAAATGGCTTGAAATCCTGTCAACTGAATGAAATTCAAACATTGGACWTTAGTTCATCACATGATATTCCTATTTACTGGATGTGTTCTGTGCTGAAGGCAAATTCATTGAGATTTTTGAACTTATCCAACATGGAGTGTGTGAGTGGAAACCTTCTGCATRTTATATCAGAGAGCTCTCCACATCTGGAGAGTTTGAATCTTCAAGGATGTCATGACTGCCTAGATCCTGTATGTACAGTCTACGTGAAGGGAAAAGATTTTTGGTAGCCAAGGGAGGACCTTCTAACCAATTCGTTACAGTCACTAACCCTCCCTTAAAAATGACACCTACTCATCTATCTACCAACTGTCTGTGTGCCTGTGCATTCATTTATCCACCCCCCCCCCCCCCCCCCCCCCCCCCCCCCCTCCCCCCCCCCCCCCCCCCCCCCATCCTATTCATCCATCCATCCATCCATCCACCCCACTGAATCTCTCATTCCATTCATTTTCAGAGTTAGTAGATGTCTGACATAATTCAGTCCAGAGATTATTCTGGAGTTCCTTAAAATATAAGGTTAATGAATGTTTAACATTCTGGTTTATTCCAGATCTCAGGGCTGAAATCCATAGCAACGAGTTGTCCTCGCCTGCGGCATCTCAACCTAGGTCGAATACATTACCACACATCAACATCAAACAATGAACTAATGGAAATACTAACATCRATTAAGTACTTGATATCATTGAGCCTATCAGGATGCAGCGTCATGCCTTTTCAGTGTTATACTGAGAAACAAGATGAGTTTCAGTCCAACAAAGATGATTCAGGAGTGATGGAATCAAACAAGGAAGAAACTGACTCATTGTCATCATCATATGATTCCTTATCATCACATGATTCCCTGTCTAATGGCTTTTTTAAAGATGATTATGATTATGTATCATGTCAAAGGCAGGTTGAGGAGACACTACACTGTTTAAAGAGCGTCATACTTACTTGTAGCTTTCTGCAGGAAGTGGAGATAATTGCTGTTGGATTTCATTCTGTTTTGAGGAAAGGTTGGTCAGCCAACAGACCACCACCTGAAAGGTATAAACCTACCTTATCCCCTCCCTCTCCTTCCTCTCTCCTGCCCCTACTTCCCTTCACCCCCTCCCACTCCTCTCCTTCCCCTCTCCTCCTCCCACTCTTCCCTCTCACTYACTCCATCTCCCCCTCCCAGTGCCTTGCCTCTGTGCCACCAAACTACTCTGTTTTCATTTGTGTTTTTTAGAGCACATCTCATATGGGATTGCCCAGATCAGGAAAGTGAATTTCTTGAAGCTTTGGCATTCTGTACTTGTCTTCAGAAACTAACTCTTGCAGGTAACTCRATAGAAAAGTTTGAAAACTAACAAGTAAGGTAAGGGCACGCCAAGCCATGTGCAGTGCTTGTGTGCTCAATCCCTGTGTGWGTAGAGTTGATTGTTGTTTTTCTCCTTTAATTTAAGCTTTTTCTCCTGGTTTACTGTTACTTTTCCCTCACAACCTGAATGTAATACTCACAAGGGCCTAAGGTGCAAAAGAATCTTATAAATTTCATTAAAAATCATAATCTTTRTTTTGACTAGCATGCTTTTTATTCAGGCCTAGATATTTGATGTGGGCTGGAATTCTTGGTGAAGATTACTTTATCTTGTCAAAGGCTGCGTTTCTTGTCATTAGCGCAACTCAGAGGGCTGGAGACAAATAGTGCTTTACCAACTCTGACAAGAGCTCTTGAGAAATGTTACAGCTTGAAGCAACTAAGGTCAGTCAATGATGGATGTTAAAAAAGTAATTTGCCATGAAGATCAAATGAGATTCATCACACCTATTAGTGGTGTGCACTGTTAATGAAATGCACTGCCTCCATGTGGTAATGGGGTCAATCCTCAGACACTCCATCATACACACGTGAGTAGAGTTGCTTGCTAGTTCCCTTCTGTGCTTCAAGTGTTTTTTCTCCAGGTCCTTTGGTTTCCCTCCCTCTGCAAAAATCAGCTTCTAAATTCCAATTTGATCATGAAGTGAGGGCCACAGGTCACTACCTATGAGGTGCTACCCTTGTAAAACAAAGACAGTCAAATGATATTTTATATTTATTTCTCAGATTCGAGCAATCATATTTCGCAGTGCCTCAGTCATTCATCATGGCTTTATTCCATGCAGTGAATCTAGAATCACTCTGTATTATCACCAAGGGTGGAAGCATCGCMGTTTCTGCTATTCTACCATTGTTTGAAAAGGTGATAAAACTATACATGTAYCATTTATTAATTCCTACTGATGTTATGGTGTCATATACCGTTAATATGATCACTACGATCACTATGTTGACCACTCCACAATATATAGAGAGACCACTACCAAAGAATGAATATTTCACTATTAGTGAAGGTACATTTCTTATGGGGGCAGGGGGGGGGGGGGGAAGGGTTGCGCTACAGAGTGGAGGGTCATGGGTAAATATTTAAACTGGAATGAAGGGTCAGAAATTTTAGTTTGACAAAAGCTGTTTCCTTATCAACTTATCAAATGCGTCATTGATTTCTTACTGAGTGTTAAAGGGTGAGGCTACAAGTATTTTTTAAAATTTATTAGGAATTCCTCAGCCCTTCTCCCCCACACCCTTCTCCCCCACACCCTTCTCCCCCACGCCCTTCTCCCCCACATAAAGCAGTACCTTTTCTTTTTTTTAGCAAATATAATACTGATTGCAATGACTATGGTAACCATTACTATTACTGTGGTAACCAATTTAGATCACTATGATGACCATTAGGGTCACTATGACAAACCAATTTATTGCTAAATATTAATTTTTGTTTGCTATGAACTATTGCTATGCAAATTTGTTACCATAGTAATTAATCACAACTATAGTTATTGACAAGCACATTTTGATATTRTTTTGCTTACAACAGTGTCGGAGGCTGCGCGTTCTCCAGATTTGTGCTGATGCCTCATCATCTGAAGAAACCTTTCGTAACATCACAAGTATATTGAACAACAGGTATCTCACAATATACAGTTATGACTATAGGACTGGGTGGGGTGGCTGATGGGCTGTTTAAATAATACTAAGTCTTTCTTTCTTTCTTTCAGGTACAGCAGTGAACRACCAGGTTTAGCTGTCTGTCTATTTCCATATGACAGCAACACCAGAGATCTGCATGATAAACTATTCAATCACGCCCATGAACAATCCTTTCCCCTCRTTCATCTCAGGAATTTATCCTTGTTTGGATCTGAGGTGGCAACCTATGTACCTTTGTGATTGAAAAGATAGAGTTGCACAGCAAACTAGGGGCAAAACCATAGCACATTCGTTATTCAGAAATCATGAAAATCACTAATAAAACAGTGTGAATAACACTCTGATATCTGATATTCATAGCTACAATTTTTACAATTCCCATGCCAAAAACCAATTTTATGAAACGCTCCTTCTCCCTAACGTGGTGCTATTGCCTGGAATAAGTTGCCCAACGAAATGCAAGAGCTCGATTCCTTGGAATCCTTCAAAAAAGCTCTGCAGCKAAAAACATGCAATAGCACCCTTAAATAATTAGTTCTATAAATGAACCTGTTTATTTTACATTTTTACATGTAATTAGGATACATTATTAGCATAGGTAGATAGGTAGGTAGATATTAGTATAGGTAGATAGCATATATAATTATATATTATTGAATATGTAAATAGAAAGTTTTATATTCCTTATTTGTATTTATTGCTTAAAGTTTAGCATGGCACGCCTGAAAATCAGTGTAACTGAGTCGTTAACCGTGGATAAATAAAGTTCATTCATTCATTCAAATCTTCACCCCTCCGTCCCCC